CATGGGTACACTCTAGTCTATTATATAATTGTAGTGTCATTTTTGCAACACTTAACCACATAACTCCAAAATCCCAATCCTACAATTTGGTTTTTTTTTTTTTTTTTTTTTTATTTTTTTTTGTCCATAACTTCCACTTCTCTAAATTTAAGATAAAATAAATAAATAAATCACTTTCACTTTTACTATTACTATTAACATTTTACAATTCAATATATATCTCCATATATAATTGCACATTATTTAACAACATTCAACTACAAGCATATTTATTATGTTTTTTAATCTTATAAAAAAGTTAATATATAAACTACACACTATACTTTTTAATTTGAAAAAAATTGTCAAAAATAAAGAATTTAATTAATTCCTAAGTAAAGATTTAATCAGAGTTAATTAACAAATAAAATAATTCAAAAAAAATTAAAACAAAAAATCCCTCTCTTACCACAGCCAACCTTCCTCCTCCACCGGCGGCTCCACCAACAATTACCCTCCCCTAGAAATTATAATTGTAGAGACACTTTTCACCAAAATCCTCCAAAACCCAAATGCTCAACTCTTATGCATTTAAGGTTTTTTTTTGGTTATTTTTTTTAAACAAAAATAACTACCTATCCATCAACTTTATTTTTATTTATTTTTTTCATTTAAAAAAAACAATAACTACCCATCCAATATTTCCTTTTTATTTTTTTTTTTCAAGAAACTACTACCAACATTTAACTTTGTGTTTTTTTTTGTATGTAGTATAATATAAAACATACATTAGCACGAGTATACAGTTCCTTTATCAACAATTCACTATAATACTCAAAATCCCCAACATTTCACTTTTTTTTTTTAAAACAATATGTACTAACATTACACTTTGTTTTACGAGTATTTTTTGGTACATAGTATAATATATGTCATACATTAGCACAAGTATAAAATTCCTTTATCAACAATTCACTATAGTACTCTAAGGGTCTGTTCTCATTGACTGAACTCAGCTGAACTGAACTTAACTTAACTTAGCTGAACTTAATTGAACGAACTGAACTGAACTGAGCTAAACTAAGCTGAACTAAAATGAAATGAATATTTTATAAGAGAAGGAAATTAGGAGCTGAACTGAACTGAACAGAACTAAATTTCAACGTAAGAGAACAGGCCCAAAATCCTTAACCCTTTAATTATATGCAATTTTTTAGGCACTACCCTCTAAACAATTTCCACTTCTGTTATCATAAAAAAAAGGTACAACACGTTTTTACGCAACTGGCCTCACCGAATAACTATTTGCAACAAATTAAAGTATATAACTCTTAGAGCAACACATGCACTAACCCATATGATGCTAACCGAGTAACCCCTATAACATTAAATGGGTAACCTCTATAAATTTGACAGAGTAAACCCCATAATATCTAGCTACATTGCGTGGCCACCGACATAAAAGAGTAAGACCCTGTTTTTTGAGCTTCTAAGCAAAGCAGGGAATATCATATGTAGAGTAGGTGTCAGCACGACAGAACAAGTGTCAGCACATTGTTAATACAATTATTAATACTCACTAGAGCAAAGCTAAACAGGGTTCAGCAAAGTCGACCAGTCCAAAACCGACCATTGCAGCCCAAGTATAAGTTATAACATCAAGATCAACTTTTCATATTTTAAATATATTTTTTTCTTATATATCACGTGCATTTTGCACGGGTACACTCTAGTCTAATATATAATTGTAGAGTCATTTTTGCAACAATTAACTACATCACTCCAAAATCTCAATCCTACAATTTGGTGCAATCTTTTTTTTTTTTTTTTTTTTTTGTTTTTTTTTTGTCCATAACTTCCACTTCTCTAAATTAAAGATAAAAAAATAAATAAATCACTTTCACTTTCACTATTACTATTACTATTTTACAATTCAATATATATCTCCATATATAATTGCACATTATTCAACAACATTCAACTACAAGCATATTTATTATGTTTTTTCATCTTATAAAAAAGTTAATATATAAACTTATAAAAAAGTTAATATATAAACTACACACTTTACTTTTTAATTTGGAAAAATTGTCAAAAATAAAAAATTTAATTAATTCCTAAGTAAAGATTTAATCATAGTTAATTAACAAATAAAATAATTCAAAAAAAATTAAAACAAAAAATCCCTCTCTTTCCACCAGCCAACCTTCCTCCTCCACCGGCGGCTCCACCAACCCTCCCCCAGAAATTATAATTGTAGAGACACTTTTCACCAAAAATCCTCCAATACCCAAAAGCTCAACTCTCATGCATTTAAGGTTTTTTTTTATGTTTTTTTTTAAAATAAAATAACTACCTATCCAACAACTTTTTTTTATTTATTTTTTACCATTTTTTTTAAAAAACAATAACTACCCATCCAATATTTCCTTTTTGTTTTTTTTTTTCAAGAAACTACTACTAACATTTAACTTTGTGTTTTTTTTTTTGGTATGTAGTATAATATATGACATGCATTAGCACGAGTATACAGTTCCTTTATCTTTTTTTTTATGATAAGAGAAGTGGAAATTGTTTAGAGGTTAGTGCCTAAAAAAATGCATATAATTGAAGGGTTAGGGATTTTGGGTCTGTTCTCTTACATTGAAATTCAGTTCAGTTCAGTTCAGCTCAGTTCAGTTTAGTTAAGTTCAGTTCTGCTCAGTTCAGTTAAGTTAAGTTCAGTTCAGCTCCTTATTTCCTTCTCTTATAAAATATTCATTTCATTTTAGTTTAGTTTAGTTCAGTTTAGCTCAGTTCAGTTCAGCTGAGTTCAGTCAATGAGGACAGGACCTTAGAGTACTATAGTGAATTGTTGATAAAGGAACTGTATACTCGTGCTAATGCATGACATATATTATACTATGTACCAAAAAATACTCGTTAAACAAAGTGTAATTTTAGTACATATTGTTTTTAAAAAAAGTGAAATCGCTCCCTCTCTCTCGCGAAAAAGCTACACATACATTCACTGTATGTGGAGCACACATACATTCATAGCTGGCAGCATTTCATTGGTTCTATTCTTGGGCCCCAATTTCCACTACTTTTCAATTTTTATTCAAATTTGAATGAAAATTCAGATGTTTGAAATTCAAATTAATAGTCATTTCCCATGCAATTAGTTTAATATTATTTTTTTTAAAAAAAAAATTATTTCTGCAACACGAACACCAAAGAGGAGAAAGGAAAGGACGAAATGGCGAAATGAGCGACGATGGATATTAATTGGTGATGAACAAAAAAACCTTGAAGCTGCTTCAATATACGGCAAATTGCTTAAATTAACGACTACCGCAAAGATTATTCGGTTAATTGAACAAACAAATCGTTGTTTACCCGAGAATTTTTAGAAAATCCGAGTGAATTAGGTTTAGGAGTTTTCAATTTGGGGGTTTACGAATTGGATTTATTCCAGTTAATTATATAGACGTATATATATTATTTGCAGAGTTATTGTGTAATTGACTTATTATTCCTCCATTAATCGTATCCTATTCGTTAATGTGTATGTTTGCAGAATATACCCAGTTTCAATTGAATTAGTGAAATGAGTCTTCTCTTCCTATCGATTTCAAACGGATTTGGATTTTTTGTCAGAATACTATAATTGTAGGCACATAAGTATCCGACTGCTTATTAAATATTTGATAATCAAGAGAATTGAAGGACGACAACAACAATGGTTGAAAAAGGGCTTAGGTCAAGTGATCGCCAATAATAGTTTTGCTTGTGCATTAATTTTCAACCAACATAGATTAAACAGGTTTAGGGTTAATTCTATTGATTGCATGTTAGTCAGAAAGCGCACATGAATACGATCAAAATAAAGTAGAGGCCTATTATTAGGGCAGGTTCAATCTCTTTTAGGTTGGATTTGTAGCTTCATCCCCGAACTACCAGTCATGGTTCCAGACCTATTGGAGTTGAAGATCTCCTTGATCGTTAAGGGGTGTAACCATCACCCTGTGAACGGTTTACAAGTTCCTAAAACTTGTTGGCGACTCTTTTTCTTTATCTTCCTTCCCTTTGAACGCAACCATGCTTAAGTGTATGATCACAGTGGGGTTCAAGTTTGGGGTAATGCTTGAATTATTCCCTACAGGAGGCATGACCGTCGTCAAGAATGAAGAAGGTGAGCTTATTCCAACAAGGACGGTCACCGGTAGGCGGATGTGTATAGATTATAAACGTATAAACACATCCACTAAGAAAGATCATTTCTCCCTTCCTTTCATTGATCAAATGCTTGAATGACTAACGAGGCACAAGTATTATCGTTTCCTTGATGATTACTCGGGATTTTTTCAAATTCCTATTCATCCCGATGACCAAGAGAAAACTACTTTTACTTGTCCCTATGGTACCTTTAATTATAGGAGAATGCCATTCGACCTTTGCAATGCTCTCGCCACTTTCCAAAGTTTTATGATGAGTATATTTGGAGATATGTTGGAGGAGGAGATGAAGGTGTTTATGGACAATTTTTCCGTAGGTGGAGTTTCCTTTGAAGCATGCCTCGAAAATATTGAAAAGTGTTTGGCAAGATGTGAGAAAGTGAATTTGGTGTTGAATTGGAAAAAATGTCATTTCATGGTTGAAGAAGGAATAATCCTTGGGCATAAAATTTCCCACAAGGGCATAGAGGTTGACAAGGCAAAGATTGAGGTAATCGAAAAGTTGCCACCTCCGGTCAATATGAAAGGTGTGGATCATTTTTGGGCCATGTCGGATTCTATAGAAGAATCATTAAAGATTTTTCACTCATTGTAAAGCCCCTCAATGATATTCTTCAAAAGGATGTCGAGTTTGTATTCGATGACACACTACTACAAAATGCGTGTAGTTGCGACGTTGTTGGCTTGACACAATATAAGGGGTGTCAGCTGTTTAATATAGTTCGCGTGTTTCCTCGACACTTATTTAAGTCAAAATTTATTTTTGACAGTTAAAAGCGTCGATATATAGTCACCTTCCAGCACGTGACAAATTTACTTTAGCCCGCATCTTCACATTACATTTTGGGGATGATAAAACCGCCGCTCTAACCCTAACTCTCATCAGTTTTAATTTCATCCCTCTCCTCACCTAATTCTCTAAAAACACTAAGACATTCATGGAAATATGATTTAGATCTGTATTGTCAGCGTGGTTCTTATCAATTAGGAAGCGGAATTTCTTTGCTCTATGTGCTGTTAGTAATTATTCAAAGGAACTCTATCTTTTTTTAATTTCCTTTTAAAATTGAGTATTTTAGGTCGTTTTTAGGGTTTTAATTTTGAGAAATGCCATGATTTTATAATAATAGAGGGTTAACTCATGAAGAATAGAGATTTGAGGGTTTGTTTATGCTTCTCTTTGAGCTACAGAATCGGCAAATTGGGATGTACTGTTTACGATGATGAGAGAGAGGTATTGAGATTAATGAGTTTAATTTTGTTGCAATTTTAACTTAGTATTCTAGAATTTCATAGTCGCAATTGGGGTTCAGATTCAATCCTTAGTGGTTGAGCTAGGTTATTTTCCTCCCTTTACAAATTTGGTCTTTACTTTTTGAGGAAAAACTACCAAATTCTCTCAATAAAATTTTTTCCTAATGTTATGCAAGTCCTTATTATGCCGTATTATTTTGCTAGATACAACTTTGATTTAGAGGTCGATGAATAACCCAGGTTAGTTTCTCCTTTTTTTCCTTTATTTATTTTTTTATAATTGTTGTGGTTTAATTTTGATGTTAAATTGGGCATTTTGTTTCAAGTTTTGCTTAAATTCTGATCTGATTGAGTTTTTAAGTGGGGCTTTGTATATTTATTTTTTTGTAGGAATTGATTAATTTGCTCGGAATTTTTTTGTTGTTATTGGTCATTTGGTTGGTTTCTTAATTGCAAAGATCTTATTCTTTAAACTGAATGGGAAATTTGGCTATTTTATTGATTGAATAGTTCGTAGTTACTTTAAATGTTTATTTTACTCTCTTCTTTAGGAAGTAATTACATACAACTATATAGAAGTATTATGGGGGTAGTACTCAAGATCTTACTTTTCAAAAAAAATAAAAATAATTAGACTTACTTGGATGGAACAAATTGGTGTGAGTATTGATGTGTGACTAAACCAATTTAAACCTTAATTTTCTGTGTGTGAAATTATATTACACATTCTGTGTGAGGCTTTGTTATGTTCGGGAGCTTGAGTGTATATGTACTGTTGTTTCCAAAATTAAAATCAATGCAAGGTTAAACATTAAACCCCTTTTGACATCTAAAAGACTGAAACCTTAAGTTATTTATAAGTGATCAAACCATGTCAATATTTTTTCAAGAGTTACAAGAGAAGCCTCCTAGATATGTTGGATTACTTTTTTTGGGAGATCGTATATGTTCTTATGTGGTTTTGTCGGTGTTTCAGAACTTTCTACTGTTAGATTACCATAGTTAGTAGTTTTTTTTTAAGATTTGTGGTAGTGCTGTTACTGCTTTATTTTTGCTGTTAAAATTTTACAATTGCCTTGAGCTGCAATTCTGTTTGTCCCAAAATGATATACCCGCAGTTGATTTTTTCCCTTAGAGCATACACAATGGTTGCCCAACCCCATCTTGGTTATTGATTATTTTATTATTTTATCCATCTTCCACCTCACTTATAACCACTCTTATAACCATTTAATAACCAATGTATGCCAATAGTTAACCATAATATTTTGGTTATACATTTTCTCTCTCCTACTTTTACCCAACCCCACCACACAATTTATTACTTAAATTCTATTATTATTAAATAATGCATTTGGTAATAATCATTCAAAATTAATAATTATTTATTAGCATACATTAATTAGATAAAATCTCAAAAATTTAAAAATAATGCAATTTTGATATTAATTAGTACGTAATTAGTCGTTAATTAAGACACAAACAATAATTGTAACCCTACTACATTCCACAATAATAAAAATCATACATATATATTCTATCAAATGACAAAAGTCTTTGAAAGATAATAACGAACCGCGAACAAGTACAAACACAATGATATAATATTGCGATTACACATCTATTAATGCATATTATTGTCTCTACTTTGAACACCGAATTTGAGCCACATATGTTCAACTAAGTCTTTCTTCAATGCTTTATGCATAGCTTCATCACGAACACGTGCTCTATTAGACATGTAAGTTTCCAAACTTGCAATTCGGTTGTTGCTATTTTGGAACTGAAAAGGCTCTTCATTATTTTCATTACTTGAAGACGCATTTGTAGCTTGATCATATTCATTTGGATCGTAATACGTTTTATATGTATCTCTTTCATCCTCAACAATCATATTGTGCATAATAATACACGCTATCATTATTTTTCCTAACATTGATGCGTCACGAGCTAGCGCTGGATTCCGTATTATTGCAAAACGAGCTTGTAATACTCCAAAAGCACGCTCAACGTCCTTTCGTTTAGCTTCTTGTACTTTGGCAAATAAACCTTCTTTTTCATTTTGTGGTAGTGATATTGTAGGAATGAATGCCGCCCATTTAGGATATATACCATCAGTGAGATAATATCCCATATTGTATGTGCGACCATTCACAACATAGTTAATAGAGGGTGCACAACCTTCAAAAACATCATTAAACAATGGGGATCTATCAAGAACATTAATATCATTACGACTACCTGGTGTCCCAAAAAAGGCATGCCAGATCCAAAGATCATATGATGCCACAGCTTCCAAGATTAATGTGGGTTTACCTGGTCTTCCAGAAAACATACCTTTTAATCGAAGTGGACAGTTTTTCCACCTCCAATGCATACAATCAATAGAACCTAACATGCCAGGAAATCCACGACGTTCACCAATCCTTAGTAGTCTTACTAGATCTTCTTCATTGGGCTTTCGAAGGTATTCATCACTAAAGTAAGAGACTATTCCTTTCACAAAATGCTGAAGTGAATCTCTTGCAAGAGATGCACTAATCCGAATGTAGTCATCCACAGAATCAGCGGAGGTGCCATAAGCTATTAGTCTCATAGCCGCGGTGCATTTTTGTAATGCAGAGGCACCAAATCTTCCTGTAGCATCTTGTCTTTGCTGGAAGAAGGGATGGCGTTCTTCTAAAGTTTGCTTAATTCGGAGAAATATATGTTTGTTCATGCGAAATCTCCGACGGAATAATTGTGGAGGGAACACAGGATGGTCGGTAAAGTAGTCATTCCATAAACGACTGTGTCCATCCTCACGATCCCTTGGAACGGGAACCCTTGGTGGCCTTGGCACTTGATTAAACATTTGATATACTTCAACTGGATTGGACATAAAAACTTCATCCATCATTCGATCGAACTGGCGATTGGCTTGCCTTCGTCTTTCATATCGTTGGGTTTGGCTATTTTCTGAATTGGAAGAGGAATTAGAAGAGTTGGAGCTATCGTCAGGTGACATGTTTTTAAAACCAAATTTGATATGAGAATGGAAGGTAGAAGTATAATAGGGGGAAATGGATGGTTGTTCAAGGGAATCCCACTCTGATGTATCCATCTTATAGAACAAGTGTGTATGATATGTAGTAATTTTTTTGTCTTATATGGTAAATTTGAAGTCTTGCATGCATGCAATGATTCATAAAGTAGTTAATAATTTTTAAAAGTAATGGAGATGCATGCCTTTGCATTGTCACTATCACCTTAACATTGTTATGTACGTCAAAGCAAGTGATGCATGCTACTATTTCCTTTTCAGTGTTAAGTACATCAGTGAACAAAATTCACTATTACCTTTTCAGTGTTAAGTACATCAATGTCTAGTATTTAATATTTGCTTTTCAGTGTTGGGTACATCAAATACTTTACAGTGTAATGTAAATCAATGTACATCTTTTGCAGTGATATATCAAAGTGAATCAATAGGTTTAGTCAGATCAATAATAATTATATGTTATTATATACAAACTTTAATGTATTGAATAATATTATTAAGCTTATAATACGATTATAAGAAGAGACATGTAATTTAACTTAATTTTTTTATTAATAATGACATTATAATATAAAATTCATTCACATCCTCAAACAACAACTTATTAAAAATATTCAAACTACAAATCAGACCTTAAGTACATAAAAAAGAACAATAAAAAAGGAATTATTTGAAATCAACCAACATTACGACAATAATCAACCATACACTAATACATTAGTCTGAGGGGAACAACTTCTTCAACAAAGTGCTCCTTAATTCTTGATCTTCCGAAGATAAGTTTGACTTTGAATCGAGGTGTTTAAATAACTCCATATTAATTTTTCTTTGCTTCCTTGCTTCTTTCTCCCTTTCTAGTTGCAACCTTGTAAGTTCAACTTCATTTTCTGATTGCCTTATAAGGTTCATGTTCTGGGCAGTGTCCAACCATTGTTGCCATGCTCCACTTGGCATGTTTGGCACCTTGCTCTTTCCTTTATTTTTACTAGATTCGTTGCTAGAAGGAAAGCCTGAATACCCAATATCACCACTGGTTGGTGTTTCTGGGTTTGATGAAGAGGAGTAGTTTCCAGCTTCATTGATACGAGATCTCTTTGAGTCACTTCCTTGAGTGGATGTCTTTTCCTTGCATTTTTTAACAACATCTTCACTTGGTTTCCATGCTTCATGTTGTTTTAAGATGTCCCAAACATGCTTGTCTTGAAAGGTTTTAGAGCATAATGAAGACTTTGTTTTGTCGTTAGCATATATACTATATGCTAATTTCATAACATCTTCATCATTCATACCACTTCCCTTTTTTGATTCGGCATGAGCATGTGAGCCACAAAATTTAGAACATGAAGCATTAATCCTTCTCCAACGGTTTCTAAGTTGCTCCGTACCCCTCATTTTCAACAAATCTTCTCGTGTTACCTGATCAGTACCTTCTTCGAAACACCTTTGTTTGTATAGTCTAACATTATTATACATTTCTTCAATTTTCCTCCAAAAAACATCCCCCTTTTGGTTAGTGTTAGTTTTTTTATTTTGACTAACCTCAAGCCAAGCCTTCACAAGAACCACTTCTTCAGCTTTTGACCAAAAAAATTTCCTTCCATCTTGATTGCCTCCTTCATTACCTCTTTCATTACCTTCGCCTTCTTCAACTTCTGGTTCATTTTCGTCATCTGATGCATTCGATGTGTATGAACAATCGAAACTCGGAAATGCACCATCACCTTGTGACATAGAAAAATGTTGAGACATGGGAAATGTTGAATCAATTTGAGAGATTTGAATATTTTCAAAAGATGGGATAACATTTGGAGAATTTGAATAATTAGGATTTTGTGGTGGTTGAAAAGGAAACGGAGTGAAAGTACTTGGATTTGAGAAATTGAGATTTTGTGAACCGTAATTCGGAAAATTTTGAAAATTTGTATCTAAATCTGAGTTGAGATCAATTGGAAGATTAGAATAGTAAGGTTGAGGATTTGGATTATTTTGGGACTGTGATGAGTTATGAGATTTTGTGGATTTTTTTTTTCTGTTAGATTTTGGAATGTTCATCTTAACACAATTTGCCAATAAGAAGAGTAATTTTCACTTAAAAAAAAGTTGTTTCAAAATACTTCAATATTGGGCTCATTTTATAGAGAAAAATAAAATAGAGCCGTTGGTGTATTTTTTTTTTTCAGAATTGTATTTTAAAAATTATGGCCGTTACAAAAATTACAACGGTTATAAATTCAGAGCAAATCTCAACCATTGATATTTGTATTACGTGTCAAAATCTTAGCCATTCATGTCAACCAAAAAGCAAAAAAAAAATTGCATGACCATATACATAACCGGTTATTTGAATAACCTGGTTATTCAATTGATACCCCAATAATTTCTCTCTCCTCAATATTTTATTAATATTTTCATTTTCTCTCTCTTAATAACCACCCAAATAGTTAATGGCTGTGGGTACTTTAATCCCTTCATGAAAGATATAGATCTTGAAAAGTCATCCAATCTTGGCTCAAGAGTTTATAAATTTGGAGTTGCGTGCTAGAAGTTATGCCACGTGGAAATTTTTGTGGTTTGATGTCATGGTTCTACCGCTGCGGGAATGATATTGCTCACTTGAAGCCTATGTGGGGTTATTGCTTTGAATTGGGTAGAATTTCTAAAATGAATACTCAAGCTTTTAATTGAACATGAGTTAGGTGGGCTTGCTAGGAGGAGTAGGTGCTTTACCCACAGTAAGGTCTTTATTATGACTCATGCCACAAGAGCGATGATTGTTTTTGGAATCCAGATCATCTGTGTGTCCTTTATCTTTGTTGTTTTTTTCTTTCATAATACAGGACCTGAGATGCAACTACAAAACTACAAAGAAGGTTTCTTAAACTTGTAGTCCTACATTGTTTTATATTCTCCACATCAATATTTGGCTGCTTGAAGTACTGATGTATCATGGACTTAGAACTTCAGTACTCTTCAATAACCAGGGGTATGTACTATGTAGTGTTAGAAACCTTGTTATGCTCTGATATGTTTGTTATTTGTGCAGGATGTTATGATTGTTTTATATGTCCAAGTCTACTTCTTAATCAAGTCGTTCCATGAAAACGTTTAAGTAGCTCCAAACTCAATAGAGAGAAGTTGCATGTTTTTTGAAATAGGTGTAGAATTGCAACTACACATTTTCACTCAACGTTAGCAGTTTAAGAGAATGTGTTGTAAATGAATATTAGCTACTATTCTTTTATCAATCTTATTGCTAGCTAGCATGATTAATAATGTTAGAAAAAGAAAATAATTGTTTTTTGCATTGTGTTGTACATATGTATATATACTAATTTGTACTCTTCGTTAATTAAGAAAAAAAATTTGAATTTATGAGTAAACTTTTTCTTTTGCTTTTGTTTAATACTATGATATGGTATCTTTGCTATTGATCTGCTCCACATAAGATATTTTTATAAAGTATGGTCTTGAAAAAGTGTTGCAAAATTTTTAAATTATGGCCACAAAAGAGCATCAGTAAAATATTATACCTCAAATATATGGAATTAGATACTTAAAGAAGCTTCGCCAAATTAGCAACTATAGACAAGAAAAAGCGTCAAAAAATTGAGAAAGTGCTCGAATTAAAGCAAATTTCGACGCTAGTATAAAAATGTGGACAATAAATAGCGTCAATGTTTGCGATGAAGCGTCGAGAGCAAAATTTTCGACGCATTTTGGTGTAAAAAATAAGCCTTAAAAGCGTCTAAAAACCACGGAAATTCTAGTAGTGACAAGTGTTTGGAGGCATTCAATAAATTGAAGAAAGCTCTAATCTCCACTCCAATTGTTCACGCTTCAAGATGGGATTTGCCATTTGATTTAATGTGTGATGCAAGTGATACGGCTATGGGAGGATTTTTAGGTCAAAGAGTTGATAAGAAACTTCATGTGATTTATTATATGTCCAAGACTCTAAATGGAGCTCAACGGAATTACACTACAATGGTGAAGGAGTTCTTAGCTATTGTTCAGTCCTTTGAAAAATTTCATTGCTATTTGTTGGGCTCCAAAAAAATTGTGTTCACCGATCATGCGGCCCTAAAATACCTTTTTGGGAAGAAGGAATCAAAGCCAAGACTAATTCGTTGGGTGTTAGAGCTTCAAATTTTTGACCTTGAGATTAGAGATAAGAAAGGAGCGGAGAATGTGGTAGCGGATCATCTATCTAGGCTTGAGGATATTCAAGTTTAAGATGATGGGTCTCCCATTGAAGATAGAATGTTAGATGATTCTTTGTATGCTATAGATGTAAAGGAACTTCCATGGTTTGCCGATTTGGTGAACTATCTTGCTTGTGGGAATTTCCTCCTTCATTTTCCAAGAATCGAAGAAAGAAGCTCAAAAGGGAGGCTAGGCATTATGTTTGGGATGAACCGATTTTGTACAAAAGGGTTGTTGATGGGTTGTTGAGGAGATGTGTTCCAAATGAGGAGTTGCCTAGTGTGTTGAAGATGTGTCACTCGGATCCTAGTGGAGGTCACATGGGTGTCTCAAAAACGATTTCGAAGGTGCTCCAATGCGGACTATGGTGGCCAAATCTCTTCAAAAATGTTTGGGAGTTTTTCAAGAGTTGTGACCGATGCCAAAGGACCAGAAACATTTCAAAGAGAAACGAAATGCCCTAACAACCCATTCTAGAGTTGGAGATTTTTTTATGTATGGGGAATAGACTTCATGGGTCCTTTTCCTACTTTCTATGAGAATCAATATATCCTTGTTGTCGTCGATTATGTGTCAAAATTGGTGGAAGCATTGCCTCACCTACAAATGACCATAAGGTAGCAATGAAGATGTTCAAGAAGATAATCTTCCCACGGTTTGGCATCCCTAAGGCAATTATTAGTGATAATGGATCTCATTTGTTGCATAGCGCCTTCCGCAAGATGTTGAAGAAACATGGAGTTAATCAAAGTTTTGGGCTCCCCTATCACCCTCAAACTAGTGGGCAAGTCGAAGTGTCTAACCGTCAAATCAAATTGATTCTTAAGAAGACGGTAGCAAGAAGTAGGAAGGGTTGGTCGGATAAGCTAGAAGATTCCTTGTGGGCATATATAACACCTTTTAAAACTCTTACCGGTTGGTTTATTTGAAGTCTTGTCATCTTCCGGTCGAACTTGAGCGTCGTACTCATTGGGCTATCAAGAAAATCAATTTCGATTTGGCAAGTGCGAGTGAGCCACGTTGGCTTGATCTCCATGAATTGGAAGAACTTTTATTGGATGCTTATTATTGTGCTAGCATGTACAAGACTCGCACTAAGGAAGTGCATGATAAACTCATTGTGAAGAAAAAGTTCAATGTTGGTGACAAGGTCCTCCTTTACAATTCTAGGATGAGATTATTTCCCGGGAAGCTAATGTCTCGTTGGAGTGGTCCTTTTGTTGTTCAAGAGGTTTTTCCTAATGGTGCGGTTGAAATATCTCCTTTGGATTTTTCAAGAACTTTCAAAGTCAATGGTCATAGGCTCAAGCACTACTATGATGGAGTTTTTGTGGGGGTTGTTCATGATATTAATATTTTTGATCCACCTTGAAGGGTGGAGAACGTCAAGCTAATGACTTTAAACAAGCGCTTTTCGGGAGGTAACCCGAGTTTCTAACCATTTTCTCTATTTTTCTTGATTTTTGTTTTCTTTTTGTTGTTTCCATTCTTATTTGATTTCTTTTCTTGATTGTGTTTTTAGGTGGTTTTGATTGGATTTCCAACAATTTTGGTGCCTATTTTGAAGAGAGAGTGCTCAAGTTTATGAATTGGAAGTATGCTTAGAAATTGAAGTTTGGTGGGTTCAAATGGTGGGCTCATAAAAATCTTGAGTTGAACCCACATTCTTGGGGTTTAGAAACTGCTTGCCTCAACCTTTATCATGATCATTTCCCATGTGCTCACGAGAAGGGATTCGGATGATGGCATACCCAAAAGGGCGCGAGCGCGTAGCCTTGTGGCGCAACCGCGCACCCCCTGCTGATGCCCCTTAAACGCACCAACCTTCTCTTTTTTTCTCTCTCTTATTTTCAGTTCCTTTCTACTTGGTTATTGTTCAAGCATCATCACCATTTTCCTTCATTATTTACTACTGAAATTTCACCATTTTTCACTTTATCTAGTTGTTTATTACTCTTAATCCCTACTATAACACTTTCATTGTGATTTTCTCTTTCCTAAAGTTGGGAATTTTGGGTACCCCTTTGGTTTGGGGTTAGTTTCTTGTAATTTGGCATAATTGTGTTTGCTAGTGCTTTGTGTTCCTTTTCTTTGTAAACTCTCATCTATCTAAGGTATGATTTCTTCATTTCTATTGATACTTATGATAAATTTTCTGCCTTTGTTGTTCATGAGTGTTTAGATTGATTTGGTTATAACCTCATATTTTTATGCATATTTCCTACTATCTCCTTCATTTGTTGTGTTAATGATGAAATTTTAGTGATTATATGAACTTGTATTTGATGATTTTGCTTGACCATACTATAGTTTTGGCACTACCTTTGTTGGAATTATAGTTTGATTATATTGATTTGGAAATGTTAATGTGCATAGTTTGTTTTTGATGATGGTTTAGAGTGTTGTTGCTCATGATGCATACTTGTGACTCATAGTCTTTACTCACTAGAGCATTTTTCAATTATGTGTGTAGAATGGTTCCTCTCCATTGAGCTAAGAGAGCTAAATGCTCTACCTATAGGGAGGTGGTTCCACCTCCTTCCCATACTTCAGATACTTATGGAATTGAGTTCACAAAGGAAGAGCATTGGGAGAGATTTGCCAAGCTTTCAACTCGGACACTCTTTTCTACAGATTCTATGATTCGTCAGCGACTACTTTGTTGGGTATTGAAGATGATGTGAGATTTTTGGCTCGACACTTGGGGTTAGAGGAATTCTTAAGCCTTCATGCTCCCACTTACTCTCAGATTACTTTCGAATTCCTCTCTTCACTTGAGGTCCTTGATGAGGATTTGGATGGTGAAACTTCTCGAAGAATTTATTTTCAAGTTTTCAACAATGATCATTCGGTGCCTCTTTCCTATCTTAATGAGGTTTTCAAGTTTCCAACTCCTAGTTAGGATGTCCCACTTGTATGCGGTATTTGATGCTGTGCAACGTGATAACAATTATAGTGAATTCAAGTGATGGAGGCATATTTCTGTCGAGGACTCGTATAGTCCTCAATATTCTAAGGCATTGTCGATTATTCATGCGGTGTTGAGGTATTTTAGCCGACTCCTCACATATGCTTTCTTCTCCGAGGAATCCCTTGGTGCTATTTGTCGAGAGGAGTTGGGTTGGTTATGGTTAGCGGATAAGCCATTTGAAGGGGGGATAGCGGTCATCGACTTCGCTTTGCATTTGCTCAACTGTTTCATTGATATAAGAGATGGTGTCCATCTCTCCGGAAGTATCCAATTGGGGGGTATTATTACCATTTTAATCCTTTCTCTTTACAAGAAGTATGAAGCAATGCTCGAGTCACTTGTCCCAATCCATGATAAAAGGGAGAAAGCTCCTTACCACTTCTTAAGCATCTATGCCATGATTAATCAACGTTTTTTGGAGCGCACCACCAAGGCAAACTTGTACATTTGGAAGGTTATAGGGACTACGGATTGGTTCCCTATCCCTCATCCTGAGGCTATGGTTAGATGTGTGGATACCCTTCTTCCTTGGAGACCTAACAAGGTGCCGATTGATCAAGTCCTCAATAGACCTCTGTTGCCTAACCTCCGGCATAATCCTTATCTTCCTCTTGCTCCCTCTTCATCCCGGGGAGGTACATCCTCGACTCCTCCCTCTCATTCTACTATTTCTACTATTGACTTGTCTCTTTTCCATGCGAAAATTGATTCCATAGAAAATGTTCTAAATTATTCACCTTTGGGGTACGATTTTGTATTAGGCTATGACTTTTATGCTAGACAAGTCTATGATTTTCATGTCATGAGAGGGGATATCCAACCATATCTTAACTATTTGTACCTACCGGTCCAACAGGGACCCATACCTTAGTGGGAGCCATTTGATGAGACCGTAGGCCCTAGTTTATGTTATCCTTATTGGGAGGGGCCTAATGTACCTCGTCATGCTATTAGAAGGACCTCCCCGACCTCTTACGGTTATAAGAGGCCGAGTGGATGTGATTTTACTTATGATCCGGCAAACCCTAACCCTTTTCCTTCTCTTGAGACTTTTGGCCGTTGGGGGTTATCGAGCGAGCCAGTCCTTGATGATTGGTCCTACTATTTTGCTAGGGATAAAGCCGAGA